TGACACTATTTACACAAACAATGGGGATTGGTGATAAAGCAAAACTGCCAGTGATATTCATTCACAATGGCAGACCCATGCTTACCAGATTACTACATGTCATCATAAATCAAGGAGAGCATTAAAATGGTTAGTATATGGTAGTTACCGCCTGCCATTCATTTTGCACCCTCAAGGCAACAGGTCCGAACCAAAGTCCAATGTCTGCCAGTTCTGTACCCTTGGGCTAGCAGTCATCTGCTTCTTCATCAGTTTCAGATGTAAAGCCCAAGAGCCACAGATAAGTGTGACCATACCACCTTGAGTGTGTCTGATCCTTGTCTAATCCATTGTGAGTTTGTTTTTGCGCATGGGGTAAGGTCCTGCTTCATTCATCAGCTTTTAATTTTTATGAGTCCTGCCCCACTTTGTTTCCTTTTGCTCTTTCTGCTTTTATTATATTAGATAATCCATTATGAAAGTCAGGGCTCTGCTTATTCTTCTAAGAATATTTTTGTTTTAGGTTGTACATTCAGGACATGAATCCATTTTGAATTTGTTTTGCCTATGGTCTAAGGCATTGATCTTGCTTTGTTTTTCTGTATATGGGATTTCAATTTTCCCAGCACCATTTATTGAAGAGATAAAATTTCCTTTTAATGACTCAGTAGTATTTCACGGTGTATACAAGACGATTTCAAAACATTTGCAGAACAAAATTATATTATCTTTAAATTCCATTATTCCATGAATGTTTTGAAAAGCACCTTTTGTTTATTCACTCATTTCTTAATGGATGCCTGTGCTGTTCCTTCGTTTTGGTTATTGTGAGTAATGCTGCTTTGAATGTATGTGTACAACTATCTGTTTGCATTCTTGCTTTCCACCTTTTGAGAAAATAGCTAAGAATGCAGTTGGGGAGTCATATTGGTTACATGTTTAACTTTTTGAGCAGGCATCTACTCTCTCTCTCCCTCTGTCCTTATTGTTTTCAAAGAAGTGAGTATATTTGAGGACATTAGAAACAAGGAATCAGGTAACATTATTATAAATAGGCAAACTTCTTACACCGTAAGAGTTTTTTTTTTAAGTAAGAAAAAAATCCTAATAGTATTAGAAGGAATTTCTGTATGTAGAAGGCAAAAATCACTTTAGCACTGCTGAGGAATGGGGCCATAGAACTGCAGAGATTATTGATGATTTTTCCTGGTAGCCACTAGGTTGGTTACAAGTGTGAATGTGGGGTTAGGGAAAGGCAGGGATATGTGAGGGTTATGGGGCAAGAGCAGAATATATGGGTTCAGTAGTATGTTTACTGTCTTATAGGACATGCCTAATTATTTTAAATTTGAACATTTTCTTGATTGTAATTCCCATCTCACTTGAGAGTCTTTAAAAAAAAGATTCTTTCAAAGTTTCAGCATCTTATTAAATTACTACCTAAGCTCCTTTTTGAACTTTTCATATCTCTAAAATTTCCTTCATGGGACAGTTATAACTTGGTGCCTTACATTCAAGTCATCTGCCACACTGGAAACCATGTCCAAGTCTTCTGTCCACTGCAGCCCTAAGACTGGAATACACAGCTGACCCTCTTGTGGGATGCTAGCTCTGGGAGGACATACAGTACTTATCTTACAGCAGTTGAAAGGTATAGTTTGATATATAAGAGCGCTGACTCAATGCTTCTGGTTATGCTGGCTCATTGCAACCGTAAAAACAGCTTGCCTATTAGAAGGTTTAAGCCAGTCTTCATAATGGCCCTTTTGTAAATTTCATGCTAGCATTTGTTCAGTTGTTAATTGGCATAGAACAAAACCATGTGCTTTTCGGGTGCATAAGGAAATGTGGTGAAGAAAGCTGATGGAGCCCGGCTATCAAAAGATATGGCATTTAGGGTCTTAAAGACTTGAAGGTAAACAAGCAGCCATCTAGCTCAGAAGTAACAAAGCCCACTTGGAAGAAGCACACCAGCCTGTGTGATCACAGGTGCCAAAGGGATCACTTATCAGGCATCATAGAACAAGAAATCATATCATTGTGTGCTCATTTACCTGATATGACCAGTGAAGACAAATGGGTGCATAAGCAAATGTGGTGAAGAAAGCTGATGGTGCCCGGCTATCAAAAGATATAGCATTTAGGGTCTTAAAGACTTGAAGGTAAACAAGCAGCCATCTAGCTCAGAAGTAACAAAGCCCACCTGGAAGAAGCACACCAGCCTGTGTGATCACAAGGTGTTGAAGGGATGAAGTATCAGTCATCAAAGAACAAAAAATCATATCATTGTGAATGAGGCGGAATGCGGAGTGAAGACCCAAAGCCCATCTGTAGGCAACTGGACATCCCCTTATAGAAGGGTTGCGGGGAGGAGACAAGCCAGTCAGGGTGAAGCATAGCTACGATGAAACATACAACTTTCCTCTAGTTCCTAAATGCTTCCTCTCCACCCACTATCATGATCCCAATTCTACCTTACAAATCTGCCTAGACCAGAGGATGTACACAGGTACAGATAGGAACTGGAAACGTAGGGAATCCAGGACAGTGATCCCTTCAGGACCAGTGGTGAGAGTGCCTGTACCGGGAGAGTGGAGGGAGATTGGATAGAGAGGGGGAACTGATTACAAGGATCTACATGTAACCTCCTCCCTCATGGATGGACAGCAAAAGTGGGTGAAGGGAGATGTCAGACAGTGTAAGATATGACACAATAATAATTTATAAATTATCAAGGGCTCATGAGGGAGGGGAAGGGGGAAGGGAGGGGGCAAAATGAGGAGATGATGCCAGGGGCTTTAGTGGAGAGCAGATGTTTTGAGAATGATGAGGGTAATGAATGTACAAATGTGCTTTATACAATTGATGTATGTATGGATTGTGGTAAGCGTTGTATGAGCCCCCAATAAAATGATTTTTTAAGAAAACAAATAAAACAACCATGTGCTTTTCTGCTACTGCTGTTGGAGGCTCGCCCTTCACTGAAATTGTCTTCAGGGAAGTGTGACGTCATAAGGGAGAGCAGCTTGTTGGTGGTAGATCACATGATCTGGAAGGAGCTGGAAGAAAGACTGCATGTAGGTTTGGGAAGCATATCCATTAACCATGCTGAGCTTAAACTTCGCTATTTCAGTGTCCTCAGAGGAACTGATGAATAAATTTACTATTTCAGTAGGTGGGTTTTTTTTATCATTTTATTGGGGGGCTCTTAAAGCTCTTATAACAATCCATACATCAATTGTATCAAGCGCATCAGTACATATGTTGCCATCATCATTTTCTTTCTAATTGAGCCCTTGGTTTCAGCTCCTCTTTTCCCTCCCTACTCCACTCTCCCCTCCTTGTGACCCCTTGATAAATTATAGAGCATTATTATTTTCATATCGTACACCATCTGCTGTCTCCTTTCACCCCCGTGTAAATTAAACCAAACCAAACTCACTGCCGTTGAGTTGATTCCAACTCAATAGCACCCCTATAGGAAAGAGTAGAAGTGGCCTTATGTGTTCCCAAAACTATAACTCTTTAAAGGAATAGAAAGCCTTGCTTTCTTCTGAGGAGCAGCTGGTGGCTTCGAACTGCTGACTTTGCTGTTAGCAGCCCAATGCATAACCCACTATGCCACCAGAGTTACAGGTATTTAATAAGGTTCTGTTTTTTCCACTACATGCACAGTAATGGTTTTCATTCATTGAGTGCTAGGATCCTTTATGTAATGTAATGTCCACTGTGCATTTCTCCTCAACACCCTTCCAAACTTGCTGCTGTACAGCAGCACCATAGATTGAGAGGTTAACCTTAACCTCAGGGATGACTCCTAGTTAATCTAAGCTAATGCTGCTCACTCCATTCCTTCTAGGTCTAAGAGTTGGTTTAGGTGGCTGGGATAGGTGCTTTTGTGACGAGTTGGCGTGTGTGTGTGTGTGTGTGTGTGTGTGTGTGAAATTTTAGAGGTCTTCTGGGACTTTCCTCACTCCAGAGAGAGAATTTAGGGGGATGTGATCCTATGTGGATGAGAGGCCTGCAGCCCATGTGTCAGAGAGCAGACTGAGAAAGCAGAGCACTGGCTAGGATAACCCACCTGCCGGCTGCTGCTTTCTTTTTTTTAATAATTGATTTTATTTTTGCTTTACTGTTGCATCGATAATATACACAGCAGAATGTATACCAATTCAACAGTTTCTACATGTATAATTCAGTGACACCAATTCCATTTTGTGTAACCATTCTCACTGTCTTTTTCTGAGTTTGTCCTCCCCCATTAACTAAACTTACTGCCCCTATTTTCTAATTAATCTTTGAAATCACTATTGTAAACTCGATTCCATGTGATCTTAAAAGAGCACAGTGCTGTGCTCTGACCTGCTTATTGAAACAACAAATTTGATCCTGAACAACTCTGCTTCCATTGAGCTCACTTGAATTAGTATTTCTGTGATCTACTAGTAACATGCAAATTGAATCCTAACTAATATGCAAATTATCCATACGACACTCTCCTGAGGTATTATTTAGTCTCCATATAAGAGTGGGTACCCGGTAGGCGCACTCGGCAGGCCTCCAGAGGTTGAGCTGGACGTGTGGGTGGAGGTTATCGGTACCTGCTGACTGTGAAAGATGGTCAATGTCTTGAAAGGAGTGCTCATAGAATGATTCGGGCAAAATCAATTCTTTCGGCTTCCTTGCTGTGTTAGACCAACTTGAGTAGAGAAACAAATCCAGTGACACTCACCTATATATGAGAGAGCTTTATGTGAAGAAGATATCCCAGCCCTCCAACTCCCCAAGTCCTGACCCAGCCATGAAGCAGTTCCTGCGCTACGTGGACGAGTCCAATGCCCTGGGGAAGAAGTTCATCATCCAGGACATCAACGACACATATGTCTTCGTGCTAGCAGAGCTGGTCAGTGTTCTCCAGGAGCGAGTGGGGGAGTTAATGGAGCAGAACGCCTTCGCTCTTACCCAGAAGTGAGAACAGTAGGTGTCACCCACCCAGCGATCTTCAGCGACCAGAGAGACAGACCATCACCGTTCGGGGTCTTTTGACTAGACCTCTTCAGGGGCGGGCCACAGGAACCACCGTGGGGTCACGGGTCCAGAAAAAGCCCCTGAGTGGACCTTGTTGTACTTTAGGTTTAAAAAAGGAAAAGAAGATGCTTAACTACTTGCCTGTGATCTGGACTTTATTATCATTTATTAAAATGCAAATGTAAAAAAAAAAGAGGGGGTACCCAAGAAAAACCAGAATTACGCTGGATGGAGCAGAGCTTTTGTAGTAACATTTTTCCTGCTAGGCGAGCATCGTGCAACTCCCTCTGAGTTAGTGCACCCAGTGACGACACCTGGGAAGGTTCTCTGTGGTCACAGTGAATTTGTTTGTAAAAGCAGTTTTGCTTGAACCTTGTTTTTGTGATGGCTGATTTCAGAGAACAGCATGCAGCTGTGAAATTTGTTTCCTGCTCGGGAAAAAATGCAGCAGAAACTGTTTTGATGTGGAGCACATCTTACAAGGACAGTGCAATGGGAAAAACTCAAGTGTATGAGTGGTTTTCTCATTTCAAGAAAAGTAAAATGTCAATTGATGATAGACTTCATTCTAGACTTCTGTCAACTTCCCAAATAGATGAGAATATCCTCTCATAAATGCATTTGAAGATCGTTTCACCAAGTAAGACTGTTAATCAAGCTTTCTATTCAGAGGTTCTGTAAAGATTGCATAATGGTGTGCAACAAGAAAGGTCTGATTTGTGGCAGACTGGGGACTGGTTTTGCTGCCAGGACAGTGCATCTGCTCATGCAACCATCTCAGTGCGTCAGTTTTGTCAAAAAAAGCTTGCCCCACGTACCTTACTCACCTGACCTCGCTCCATGCAACTTCTTTTTGTTTCCTCAAATGAAGAGGGACATAAAAGGACAGCAATTTGATGACATAGAAAAGGTGAAGAAAAAAACAAAGGAGGTGCTGTCAGCCATCCAAACAGATGAGTAAGAAAAATGTTTCCAAGAATGGAATCGCAGATTTGACAAATGGTTTAAGTGTAATGGAGAGTCCTTTAAAGGTGATAAAATTGTTTTGTAAAAAAATTAAATACATAGCTTTGCCAGGGGTGGGATCCGGGTTTTTTTGGGTACCACCCCACCTTACAGAGGCTGGTTGTGGGGGTTGGGGAAAAAATCATTCTACCAAATCTACAACTGTAAGTAACAACTTGAGTGCAAACTCAGCTAGTTCTCTCTGACTCTAAGCCTCATCTCTACTGCTCAGTGGTTCCATCTGTTCCAATACCCAGCCCAACTTTCCAGACAGTTTTCAGAAAAGACCAGTTGTTAGAAAAGAACATTATGCGTAGAAAAGCAGAGGTCCATTGACGATGAGGGAAACCATCAGGGATGGACCGATACAATAGCCCCAGCAATGGACTCCAATGTATGTACAATCATGATGATGGTGCAGGACTGGGACACATTTCCTTTCGTTATAAATAAGGTTGCCACGAGGGGGAACCAACTTGATGGCTCCTAACAACAACATAGCACACATATAGACAAGCACAGAAAACTTAACTGCAAGGTTTAATGGCCAATCGTGACGAAAACATCCCCATCAAGATCTCTTCATCAATTCAGTGTTGGTGGCAAAGTTAACCGTTCTGAACATCTTCGTCATTCTGCTCAACTGGGCCATTTCATTAACTTTATCTGCAGCATTTGGCACTCCATGGGGGAAAGTAATATTGACATCATAAGCTATACCATTTATACAATAATTAACATCAACAACTAAACACACAAAATGATATCCTAAAACAGAAATATTATAAAATAAAATAAAACTGACTTTCTGATTTAGGACTACAACAACAAGGAAGTTATTATTAGCTCTGATCTACAGTCTAGTCCTCGTGGTGCCAAATTCCCTAGGGAGAAAGCTTCTGTAGAGATTTTGTGGAAATCAAAATGTATAGAGTGATTTTTTTAGGGTTCTTGGGCAGATAAGCCCACCACTGCCACCCATGACTCTCCATCCCTTGTCCCTTGCCAGCCTTCAGTTTAAGAAGCAATAGCTTCCATAGAAGATAGGCTTCATCATGTGTGCCTGCTGTTTAATGATCTTTTTATTTTTCAATGAATGTCCTACATAGAAAAAGACCACTTTATGTTTGGTATTTATTATGTATCTTGTCTAATTGATTCTTTATTAGATCTTTTCCGTGGAATTAAAAAAAAAACCTATTTAAAGAAAGCACAAAGTGTCCCTTAGCTGCATATAGCAGACTAAATAAATCATTGGGCTTTTATAACCCCCTTTTATACCAAAATGAGCCAGAGGTGATCCTGTGTGATATGGAGCCAGAGGGTCCTGGGGAAGCTCACCACTCAAAATACCCCCAAGTCTGATGTGGAAACAGGCACTGCCTTGTAATTATGGGATAGAATCATCTAGAACCATCCTCATCAATTCATATTTGAATCTTTCTGCAGAGTATTCCTTTAAAACTGCATTTTCCAGTCTTGGTGACACTGTTCATTATTTTAATTGCTAAAGTTGCCCATTTGGTACCTTACATTCCCAGACAGCCAGCAGATAATTATCTTTTTAACCTGCTGAGATGAGCACAAAGCCAGGCCAGCTCACCTGTAGGAGAAGAAAGGAACCTACCTGTGAACAGGGGCACTAGCATGGTCCTCAGAAGACACCTAGAAGGAGATTTCCACATTAGCCTGCCCCAACACACCAGTGTGTGGCTCACGGGGGGCAAGCTTGTCTGCAAGCCGTGCATTTTTCAGCACTTGGACTATAATGCTAGCCGAGGGCTTTCTGAGCTGTTTGTTGTTGGCTACTGCCACCCAGAACACCCACCACCAAGTATGGTGCCAGAGTCCTTCTCTGTGTTGCAACAAGAGTTCTGTGACAGTACAGTCCCTATACGGTCATGGGGTGTGACGGGAATAGCACTGTGCTGCAGCAGCATTGGGCTGGAGGCTGAGGAAAGAAGTTGGGTAGATCATAGGAAAGGGTGAGCTTTCTTATCCCTATAACGCCTGAACTTTTAATTTCAGAGAAAAAAAATTTGTTTTTATTTTTCACTTTCATAGTTATCAATATATATAACAACCAAAATATATTTAAAAATATAAAATTTGCAATGTTTTTTAAATTCAACCAAATTGTCACATTCGTCCATGGATTTATAATAAATGTTATAATTAAATGTTATGAAAACTCCGTGCTTGGCATTATAGGTTTAGGACAGGAATCAAGTCTTAGTCATGCTTGTCCCCTCAGTGCAAGAAACATTTCGTAGTAGTGACTCTCAGTGTCGGTTGGTTTAATTAAGTACCTGCTATGTGTCAGTGGTCAGAGTCCTTGCATGAAGCAAACAGCACATTCAGCTGCTAACCAAAATGTTAGAAGTTCAAGTCCACCCAGAGGTACCTCAGAAAGAAGGCCTCATGATCTCTTTCCAAAACCTCAGCTATGGAAAACCCTATAGCGAGTCGAGCACTGTTCATCTCTGACATACGTGGGCTCGCTAAGAGGCAGGATGGACTGAGAGGTGCCAGGCCTAGATTAAGGGGAAAGCGCTGACCACTCTAGTGGAGCAGGAGAGACAAATAATAATAATAAATAATAATAACTGACTTACTTTTTTTTTAAAAAGGACATTTTCCTGCAAACTTTTTGAAATACTTTTGTATACAGAAATTTTACCTTGTGGTAAGTGTTATGGAAAAAAAGCAGGGTAGGTGTTAAAGGAAACATGGGGGTGGGGGGCAGGGTGGTGTACAATTGAAATGAGATCAAGGAAGGCTTTGCTAGATGGTGACATCCGAGCAACAGCTTGCAGGAGGGAGGTGAAGGGACGAGCCAGAGGGCTACACAGGGAAAGAGTGTGCAAGCAGAGGTTGCACAGCAGGAACTTGCCCCAGGAATAGGTCCAGTGGACGCCCACCTAGAGTCCATAAAAGCAAGATCAGAGTGAGATGGGCATATAGGGAAAGAATCAGGGGAAAAGGTCACACAAGGCCTTTGAGGTCATTGCAAGAACACTGGTTTTTGCCTAATTGAAGTGGGAAACTTCTAGAAGATTTTGAGCACAGGTGACATGATGTGCCCTGTGCTTTAGTAGCTTTTCTTTGACTCGTCTATGGGGTCAAAGATGGAAACAAAGAGACCAGTTAGGAGACTGCTGTGCCAATTCATACAAGAAATTGTGGAGGCTTGAGTGATGGTGAAGGAGGTGGTAAGGAGTGGTCGAATACTGAATATTAAGTATTAATTAAGATATAGTAATCCCCCATGATAAGTTGTAATAGAACTTATCAACTTGCATGATGAAATCTACTAAGAGCAGCCAATCAATTGGAAGGGAGTTTCCTTGGGTGTGTGCCTGATTGCAATATTTGTGGATGTTCTGACAAATGGTGCTTGCTTTTTGCTGGTCCTGGATCCTACATCTGGCTCATCATCTGACCTCAGGTTCTTTGGACTGGAATACCTCTGCTATATTGCCTGTCAATCCTGGAAGCTGTCAGAAGCATGCTGTCTTACCTACCAACCTTGGATTCATTCACTTGTGTAGCCAGAAGGATGCCATCTGGCCTGCCTGTCTTGAGTTCATCAGTCCTCGCAGCTATGTGAGTCAAGAGAAGCCTGATGTCTGCTCCATGGTCTTGGGACTTGCCAGCCCCTACAATTGCGTGAATCCCTTCCTTGAGATAAACCTCTTACTGGCAGTGTTTCTCTACAGAACCCAGCCGGAGACATCCTATTAGGTATAGAAATGTGCTCATTTGCCATTCAGCAATATCTGTGAGTGCTCCTGTATGCCAAGCACAATGCTGGGTTCTCAGGACATGATAGTAACAGAGAAGCAGAGCCTGCTCTCTCCACATGAGCAGACAGCATAACATGGTAAGGCTGGCGTCTCACGGAAGAAGGGAGCCAAGAAAACTTATTGAGGGAGGAAG